TCAGAGTGGAAAAATTAGACATTAGATAATAAAATAACATATTCCTAGGGGAAAATGATTTTCCATCTGTGTTAGAAGAAAAAGAAACTTAAATCCTTTCATTCAAAAATGCAAAGTTTACTTTGAGAGGCTTATTCGAAATGACAGACTATAATGCAATAATAGCACTACGGGGTAAAAAAAAAATGAGTCAGCCAGAAAAAAAACAACAACAACAAACCCTAAAACACTAATTCCCATCTGACCAGTCTCAACTCACATGTTCACTAACAAAAGAAAACAAGCAAAGCAGAACTTTGAAAGCTTTCCTGAAGTGCAGGTGTGAACATTTCCCCAGCTGGGGCTAAGACGGAGCTCATAGCATTTCAGTACAACTGCAATGCCTCTGCCAGACCCATTTGCTCGGATTAGGGGAGTAAACAGTTCTTTCCTCAAAAACCCATACGAATGCAACTCTGAACCTCAGAATTCCACGCTCCCTAAGTTATGAAATTAACCTGTCCCAGTGAAACTTTCAAATTAGAGGAGACTCCAAAGTTATTCACCAATCATCTATATGAAAAGTACTTCAAATATATGGAAAGCAACCATGAAAATTAGATCAAGAATATATTTGTCTTCTCAACTGCCCTAGAAAAACTGCTACAATGAAATGTACTTTATTTTCCACGAGGCACCCTGTTCAGTAAAGAAATATGACCTGGGAAAGCTTTTTAGTAAATATTTTATGGTAAGAACTGGAGGTAATCACACTGATCACTTGAGGCAACGACTTTGACCTCTGATTACGGATATGTCATAGACATACCTATTATCCATGCAGGCCTGTTTGAGATAGAAGTTCATCTAACCTCAAATCATTTGAGGAGTACCAAGAGAAGCACTGGAAAACCACTAAAACAGCCTTCCCCTCTGCTCCTCACAAATTTCCCATAGTTTTACTTACTTGTAAAAGCGTGATGTGTTTTATCCAACAAATATAATCATATTAATATGAATCTTGTGACACAGTGATAACTGTGTGTGTGTGTGTGCATGCTCAGCTGTGTCCAACTCTTTGTGATCCTGCGGACTATTATAGCTCAGCAGGCTCTGACCATGGGATTCTCCAGGCAAGAATACTGCAGTGGGTTGTCATGCCTTCCTCCAGGGAATCTCCCCAACCCAGGGCTGGAACCCATGTCTCTTCTGTCTCCTGCACTGGCAGGCAGGTTCTTTACCACTGTGCCACCTGGGAAGCCCATAATAACCTTGTGTATCTTCTCCCAACTTTCTTTCCAAGATTAATAAACAACCAGTGAAGACTGTGTTAAACACAACAGTCAGTGTTTATGAGAAAACTATAATGGAATGTGGTTCTGCCCATCCTGGAATCTTTGCAAGACTCTTAGAACATAGGAGACTGGAATAGATTTCCACTCTCCTGGAAAATAAGAACAGTCTTGTTTTGATTCAAGGTGGACACTTCCTTTGGCCTTGAGTTGTCCACGTCCATCCACACAGTTCCCTTGAATTTGGACATTTCCCCAAATTTGTAGAATTTATTTAAAATCTGAATCATATGTTCAAATATATCAAGGCAACATGTCTCAATTTTTAATTTAGTTGTCATTACACATCCAGGAAAAAAGTTTATTCATATACACATATAAAGGCGTATTTATACATCCTGTCATCTTAAATTCTGCAATCTATAACTTGACACTACATATACTCTGGATGATATTTATTGTTTCTTTTAGTCCAGAAAATATATGGGAGAAAACTAAGCTGATCTGCAATATATTATGAGGTTAACCCAATCTAACCTAAGAATATAGATTAGGTGGATAAATGGTTATCAAAACATTAAACAGCAAATTAGTTACCAAGTGCTGAACCTTCCAATCCCTCAGAAACAGGATTCATGTGGTTATACTGTAAAGTTAACATCATCATGAGAACAGGATTAGGAAAGAGCTAGAGGCTCAGAGGGAAAACAAGAGGCTAAAATTTTACCAATACAAAATATATCCACTGGTTATGATTTCCTCATTAGCTTTTCCACCAGCCTTCATCCATGAAAAAAAAAAAAAAACTCAGCAGAGTTTTCGGCCCCTCAAAATATAGATATGCAATATAGAAACCTGGCCTTGGCATAGTTTTTCAAACAATGTTGGGTCCAGGTGATTTCAGAGTCAGAAGCAGAATTATAAATAATTTAAGCCCAAAGACTGGCTTCAGCCTAATTTGTTAGTTCAATTAGAAGATGATGAATACAAAAATAAAAGAGACGGGTTTACACCAGTAGTGACACAGCCTCCCTTTTTTGCAGGAATGAAAGCTCTCATCTGCGTGCCTCACGCAGCTGAGCTAGCATCATTACCCCGAGAATAACAGGCAGCAAACTAACAGACAGGCTCCATCTTCCTCACCAAATTCAAGATGCTACAACCAAATCTTGTTTTACTCATCAAGTGTTGTTAGGTATTTCCAAGTTTGATTTATTACTCTTTTTTGCAGCATTCCTGGAGAGCTAATTATGGGAAATAATCCTTTTCCTTATTAGGCCAACTGTGTTCTGGGAAGAAACATTTGGTAAGCCTGGTGAACTATAAACTGCTATGAGAAGTTCCATTTCATAATAGTTTATTCTGATAAGCCGAGTATTCCAATTCTAATTCCACCTAATAGGCAAGACAACCTCGGAGCCTGTCTAAATTTTCTGGTGGCGAATATTAGTTCCGAGTTGGAGCCAAGAAGTATGTCACACAATTGAAAGAGTTTTTCAGGCTTTGCCTTAGTAATTTAATAAGCTGACACCGCATACTAAACACATATCAGCGCAGCCACTGGGACTGCTGCTTTCCTGAGAAAAGAGGTAACCCGACTGCAGGAGTTTTCTTTTGGAAGAGGCTGTGACAAGCCACAGATATAGTGGTTCTTCTGGAGAATTTCATTCCCAGCAGTTTCGTCTTGGTAACATTTAACAATTTCACTATTTTAACATTTTGAAATGCCAAAAAGAACACAGTGATCCTGCAGCTAGGCTTATTAGAGAAGAACAGTCTCACAGGCGAGACAGGGAGGCACGTGGTCCGCTGGGAAAAGGGTAACAGAAAAAGACAGGAAACAGTAGACGACAAACAAGGCCGATCACTACTCCACGGGAAGACGGGACTTCGTTTTCCCCAGAAGGTGAATCTTCACTCTCCAAAGTGAATAATGTTATTTACAGCTTCTTTTAGGGGACAGGGCATAACATTCTTTTTAATGCATATATACTGATGCTAGCTATTAAAGGGGAAGTATGAATATAATGTGCCTTTTAACCATGAGTATGAAAGCATAGTAATTTTCTTTCTGAAAGGTCAGAACCAAGCATTACCTCCCTGTGGCATTATTTTACCCCAGAGAGGCTCAGGAACACAAGGAAACCTTTCCCGGTCAAACACTTGATACCTACCTGAGCCAAGACTGCTCCTCGTCTGGAGTAGGAGACATCTTTAGAATAAAAAGAGTTTGTTTACAGTAAGTTCTCTTGATAACCTAAAATAGTTTTTAAAAACCATATCCAAGTGTCTTGCCTAACTGTGGTAACTGTTATTGCACCTACAGTAACTGCCTGCAGTATGCAACGTTTAAAATTCTGGAGATGCATGGATTCTGTTCATGTATAGATAATCAGAAAATAATCTGTGTCACTTAAGAAACTATACCTAGCCTTTCTGAGAACATCGCTCCTAAATGAGTTAGAGAACAGAGGAGGGGCAAGGAGTACCAGGGGAAAAAAGGACAGAGAAAAAAATCAATCAGTGTATCTTTTCCTGCAAACTGTCAGCAGGGTGGGATTAGAAAAGCAACACTTTAAATCAGATAAAGTCCTATGGGAACCTTAGGTTGGCTGCTCTGAGCTTCTCAGGATTCTGCAAAACAGACTGATGGCAGTAGTCACCTACTGATACTCACTGTCCACTGAGCTTCCCCAGAGAAATCGCATCTCCCTCATTGTTCAAAAGATATCAACTTGGTAATACAAATGAGAAGAAGTTATGGAACCCACTGAGATATATTTCAACACCTTTAAAACCAGTAGGTAGATCTGTTCCAATCTCTTATTGGATTAAATGCCCGAGGATGCTAATACATGAAGAAAGCAACAACAAAGGCAAGAACAGCACTTATCTGAAGGAAAATAAAAAAGATGCGAGACAAAATAACAAATAGGTGACTCAATTTTTTCTCATCTGTTCAACTGAAAACTAAAATCAGAAATATGCATGATGCTTTTAAACTTTCAAACGGCCACACAACAGTTTCTCACGTCTGTCACAGCAAACATTCTCTTTCACGGGAGCTGATCATTTGTGATTGTGAGCCTGGCAAGAAATGTCTTTTAAACAGACCACATCAACTTTTTTTCATCTAAATTCAACGGTTCCATCACCATTCAAATTTACATATCAGTTAAAGGCTAATTTCTTTTTCCTCAAAGAAAAGTGGTTCCTGTAGCTACATTTTTATATGCAAAAGTTTATTACTTGATATACATTTCTTTACATGACATTTAATAATCTGACTTTGGACAGCTTCTAGGTTTGGTGCAGAGATCGATGTATTTCTTCAGTAAGACTCAGCTGCTGATAGGGTTTAGAGGCATTAAGCACCAGCTCAAGCGCCCGTTTTTCCAAACATGCACTATTACAACATTTTCCACAAACAGACATCCGTGCATACAGACAGTCAGGTGCTCACACATTCAATAACTAATGGTAAAGGGTAGAAACCTCCAGAAGTAGCACAGACCACAGTTAGGCAGGGGCTCTGCGGCTTAGTAAACACCAGTGCACAATTCGCTCACACGGAATTAGAACTCCACGAAGGACACTTGGGAACCACACTGGTCAGCACCCGAGGGGGCGGGAGGCGGGAGAAGTATTTACAAATGCAACTCTACCAGGTCTTACCCTTCGCATCCCCCGGTCCTCGCGGGAGAAGCTCCCTCGGCACCTCTCGCCCAGCGCAGGGGCTGCTGCTCTGCTTGAACGAAACGTCCCCCCACCTGACTCAACCGAGAGCTCTGCCGGGAACCGAGGCGCCCCGCCCGGGCCAGGGGAAGGCACTGGCGCCGCGGGAGCCGAGAAAGAGGCGGAGGCGGAGAAGAAGTGGAGAAGGAAGGGGTGGCCGAGGGAGTCGCGAGAGGGAGGCGGCGCCGGCGCCGGGATGCGGGCGAGGAGGGGTGGGGTGGAGCGGGCTGTGCCTCCGTCGGTCGGTCAGGAAGTCGGTCGGTCCGCTCAGCCCGCGCGCCGGCGTCCCCTGCCTCCAGCGCCCGCCCGCGACGGCGATCGGGACTGGCGCCCCCTGCGCTCGCGAGCCTCGCCCCTTGCCGGGGCTCCTCGCTGGGTCCTGCCGCTCGCCCCGCCTGGCCCGGCGTGGGGCCGCCCGTTTCCGCCAGCCCGGGCGCCCGTCGCCTCGCCCGGCGCGCGCGGTCCCCGACTCTCCCTGCGCTCGCGCTCTGGCTCCCTCTCGCTCCGGTCCCATTTATGAAGCGCGGTCCCATCACGTGTTAATGAGCCTTTGTCCTGCCCTGGCAGCGGCGGCGGCGGCGGCACAGACCCCGCCGAGGGAACTGCGCGGGGAGGGACCGGCGCGCGGCGCCCGCGGCTCCAAACTTTGCTGGCGCGAGGGGACCCGCCGCAGGCGCCCGCCCCGGGGCCAGAGGGGACGGGCCTCTCTGGCCCGCGTCACCTATTTCTCTTCCTCCTGCTCTGCGGCCGCCGCGGTCCCCGGGGGCCCCACTGCCATGACCTGGCTCTCCTTCCAGACACTCTCACACTCCGGCCCAGCCAAGAAAGGGCTCGCGCCCGCACCGTCCCCGACCTCGGGGCCATGAGTCACGCGCGCCCGGCCAGCGCGCAGCGACAACACCCCGCGCGGGGGTCACGTCTGGGCCGGCGGGCTGAGCCGGCAGGGAAGGGGGAGCGGAGAGGGGGGACGAGGCGGCGGCGAGCCCGGCCCCGGGGGTGCGGCCTGGAGCCCCACCCAGGCACCCCCAGTTCCGGGCCGCCTCCGCGGCAGGCGGCCACCAGTCGGGCCCGGGGTCAGGCGAAGCCCGGGGACCGCGCCGCGCAGCCCCCGAGTCCCCGTGCTACCTGGCAGAGGCCACGCGGCCACCTGGCCTCCGCCCTCGGGCGCCGCCTGGCTCCGCGCCGGGCGCCTCCTCCAGCCTCCGCCTTCCCCGCCCGGCGCGGACCACTCGGGCGCGCCCCACCCGCCCGGCCCCGGCTGCAAACATTTGGGCTCCGTAGGCGGCTGGCTCTGCGCCTTCCTGCCTGGAGCGCCCCCTCCCAAGGCGGGGTTGGGGGGACCCCGCGCCTCGCACCTTCTCGCAGGAAGAGGACGCCCCCTTCCAACGCCGGGCGGGGGGCCCCCGGGGCTCGCGGGCAGCCGCGGCAGGCGCCTGGGGATCCGTGGTGCACCCGGCTGCCGCGGCAGGAATTAGGGGACATGCTCGTTAATTGGTTCCACTATCAGCCGCCGTCTGCCTCCCGTGTGCACGGATCAAACCTTAATTGGTCTTTACATTTATCATGGTGAATTGCGAACCAGAAGCAAGCCCCAGCCGCCGCTTCAGCAGAAAAGGCCCTCCCCCTGTCCCCGGGGCAGGGCAGGGCTGTGGCGGCGGCGATCCCGGTTATTTAGACATCTTTATCTCTCCGGAGTCGGGTCGGGGGAGGACTGCCTGGTTTCCACCTGATGCAGCCAGCTCCTCCGGCCCCAACAGCCCCGCGGAAAACGCTTGGTTCGGTTCCCAAGCTCTCCTCTCCGTGACTGCCTCAGCGTTCGTTTCATGACACCCCGCTAGGATCCGGCAATTTCTGCCCAGTCCTCATCTTGCACGCGCTCTGGTTCCGATCTCTAGTCTCGCCTTGCCCAAGCCCAGAGCTCAGCAACAATCGGAACAGATCTGGGCCCCATATTTGGACTACGTGATGAGAATCCAGAAAAGCGAGCCTCTCAAGGAAGGGAGGAGAATTGGTGCGCAGGAAACACATGGTTAGTGGGTTCAGAGTCCTGGATAAGGGCAGGCTGTTGAGTGCCTTTTGGAAATCTCCATCCAAATCACAGAAATACTCAGGGCTACAGTGAAGTCTTTGAAGATCCCCTAAATTGCTTCAAGCTAGAAAAAGTATTTCCCATTTTCCTATCAGGGAAATGGCCATTTGCAATGGAGTCCACAGCGGAAATGATTAATTTCTGCTAGGTAGGTAGACGGAATAAGTTATAAACAAAGATATGATGGACCCGTCAATCGATGGCCAGTGGGTAGATGCGGGATTAAATCTGATGCCTGGGGCAGACTCCGCTTCTGTCTGAAAAAACCCTCTTCAACCACTTGCAACGCGAAGACAGCTCTACCTAGATATTTAAAGGGGGGCGGGGGGGATGGCGAGGCAGGCACTTCAGCATTTGTTCCTTTTTTTTTTTTTCTTCTCTTTTTAGGGGTCATGATTGTTTATTTCACTTTTACCTTACACCCTTGGCAGGAGGATATATTCGCCAAGTTTTGCCCCCTTTTGACCTTACAGACTTTAATGTCCCAAGTGACCTGGCGATTCGATAAGAAATAGTTTGCTACTTCCTGGTGGCGTAGGTTCAGATGTTTGCTAGTAGGATCTAGACAGCTCTTCGGATGATGATGATGAGGTCGTCTTTCGGGTGACTGGAAAGGATAGTCAGTCGGGCTTCTGGAGGGCTCTTAGGCAGCGGGTTTCACATGGAAGCTGCCACGCTTCCCTGTAGCACGATGATGTAGCTCTTGGGGTGGCTGAGGTGTTTAGTATCCCTTGGAAATCCGACGCTGACACTTGCTGGGTACCCCTTATAGGACATTCTCCCAATTACCAGTCTGCCCCTTGGTAGTCAAACTCAAAATTTTAAGGGTGGAAACCACTTATAACCTAGGGAAGGAATTCCATGGAAATCTTATATCTCAACTCAGCCACGCCAACTTTTGCTTTCTCCTAAAGAAGAGCAATCTAATTACTATAATTATCTCCAAGTCATCCTAACTCTCTTTTGATTGATGGTGGATCTCTTCACTGAATTCTGAAATTCCAAGGAGCAACCAAGGATCCAAAATGACCTGAAGTCTATTTGTTGAGTGACTGGCCAAAGTGACCTGTAAGACAGACACTCATTAAGAATCTGATCGAGTAGTGACTCCAGCAGCTATGACTGTTTAGCCTGTTATTCTGTTGTTGTTCAAGATGAGGCCTCGGGAGGTGGGGGAGAGAAGGCTGGAGCCTGACAGCTGGTGAATTGTACTCACTTTCCATTTAGAGCTCAAGGATAATGCTCAATAACGGAGTCAAAATTTGACTTGTGACCTGGCATTTTATCACCACGAGTGAATGCTTTGTTGGAACTGAGAGAGTTATTATGTTGTTTAGAAAATGCCATTCTTGTAGACATGCTTGTCTATCTTTAAAATTTAAAATCTGTCTTCAGCTCATCAGGGTGTTAGACTGTCAGTCAAAGAATGGCTATACTTTTCCCTTGGAGCTGGAAGATGGGCAGACAGCTGATAATGTGAAAGCAAGATGCTCCTTCATGCCTCAGAGTTCACATTTGGCCAGGATCACCTTTATATGGGAGGAAATGACTTGGTTTTCACATGTGATTGGCCAGCCACTGTCCTCATACAAGAGTCAGCAAGAATGACAAATACAAGCTGTCAGCATCTCTTTCAGGAAGACTATGTTGAAGGCACAGATACATTTAACCTAAAACATTGAATGATCCTCGGTCATCACAAACCTAGGTTGAATTTGAACCTATGCCCTTCTGGGGAAAGACACAGAGAGCCCCATAGCGGGTTTCACTTGTCCTTGCGTTGCTACATATGAGGCTGTCTGGCTTTTTAGTTCTTTATCCTTTTAAAATTAGAACAGGGCTATGATGAGCCAATTTACTGCCGTGCCGTGTAATTTAGGTTATTCACTCAGTGAAATGTAGAGGATGAGAGAACAGTGAAGACTGCATATTTCAACTTCAAAGAAAGATAGATCTCAATTTATTTCTGCCAAAGTATTGATAGTTATGTTGGACACAGAAAATTAGAGAAGCGTGTTCTGCCTCCCTAAGATAGATGAGGATCCAAAAGGAGCCATAATCCACAGTTTCTTTTTATACTTGTTTTGGTTGGTGGTACCTCGCTCCCACTCCCCAAAGGAGTGATCTGTTGGGAATGATGAGTAATGGTTTTCCAGTTTGGGAACTGGAAGCAGAAACATCGCTTTCTTTTAGAGTTCTGGGAGTTCTTTCTGAGTTTGGGCTTCACGTGTTTGTTTGTTTGGCCTTTTTTTTTTTTTTTGGTATTTTCAGTGTGTTGCTCACACCACAGGGCTGGAATGCTCTCAGATTAAAGACATTTTCAGAATGATGTTATGATGACACAATTCACTCTCATTTGGAGCATTGCTTTAGAGTTCGGCAGTTATTATTGGGTCTCCTTTGAAGCATTAAAGCAGTTTGTTTTTCAGCGGCTTTGCTTTGTGAGATGGGAATTTATTCTTCATGCCCAATCTAAAAGGTGATTGACAGCAAGCCTGCCGACTGGGCTGAAGCTCTGTCATCCCAAGCTTGAGATCTGAAATGTTTGTTCAGGAGATGCTCAATCAGTGATGCAAGCAACCTAAAGACCCTCCCGCACCACTTCTGCATGTTTCTGAAGAGCTACAAGCTGATGATGGGGAATGGCATTCTATCTCACTCCACCATCAGAAATTAAACTCATGAAGTCTGTTGTAGGTGGAGAAACTGGTTGCTAGGGTAGGAAATGAATGGGATGAGGAGGAAAGATGATGGGCTTCTCTGACCTTGGGGGACACTGTCTTATGTTAGGCACAAAGAAAATTCCTGCCACCTCTCAGTGATCTTTCCATATAACTAAACACATGCTCATTAGGGCTTTTTTTATTTTCACCTTCTCACCTTCTTTCATTAAACCCCACTTTTGAACATCCCAGCTGAGCAGCAGCAAGGAAGGCTGAGAAATGACAGGAAGGCATTTTTCCTTTGTTCATATGTTTTGTTTTGTTTTTCATCACCAAGCAAAGCATCAGTAATGAGGAGATGGATCATCCTTTCATTTCAAACCATATGAGAAGTGTGTTCTAACAGATAATAAATAAGCACATCGTGCAAATAAGGGGAGTGAGAAAACAGGTTAATAAGGCTTTTGTTCCCCCTTGATTAAACTCTGGCAAAATAGTCATCAAAACTCTATAATTAAAAAGCCTGCAAATATTATATGTCTAAATATTTCCTTTAAAACACTAGGGCAGGCAGCAGTATTATCACAATAAAATATGGAAAATAATAGAAAAATAGTGCTAAATAATACATATGTCTTAAATAGTCATCTGGCCTGTCTTCTAAGTAAACCCTTTCCCCAGTATTCTTCATGGTTCTTTCAACTTCAGGTGGGAACATCGAATTGACCATCTATCTTGGATTATGAAAGTTAGCAGAAATAATAAACA